AGAGATGTTTTTCTTCCTTTGTATTAATGATGCTTTACATATTTTAATCTCAAGTACAGCATTCATTCCACTGAAAGCATTAAGCAGTGTATGTGATGGTTCAGATTTAGCAGCCAGAGATGGCAGTCCTCTCATATCTCCATAAACTTAGAGAACTATGATTTAAGATATGCTCACTATACAACCTGAAGCTGAAAAATTTAGTGTTAAGGGAAACCTTGTGAAGTCATTTTTGCAATAACCAGACACAGTGGGTGAACTTAACCTCTCTCTCCTTTACCCCTTACTCCCTTTTCTCCCATCCAATCCACCTGATTAATAGCTAAAAATTAAATACATAAGGAAGAGCTGTTGCTCTACATTTTTTTTTCTTCCAGCTTTGTTATAGAAAATGTATCAGTCACTTGTGGTTAAAACTTACAACTTTATTACATAGTATTACATAGAAAATGTACAATTCAGACTTACTCAATTTCAGCAACTACAATTTAGAACTATACCTTCAAACAATAGCATGCAGAAAATGTTATTCTGTGCTTTTTGAGTCATTCTGTTCAGGCTCACCAATTTAATTTTCCATTTGATAAGTGGAGCCACAAAGCTTGGTTTTGGTCTAAAGGGTCACCTGTTGGAAGCATTCAAAAGAACATTCAAGCACACTCATACTCCCACGTGCATAAACAATTGTCCACTGCATGTTTGCTAACTAAGTAGATCATACTGAAAAATAACATTCTCCATGTCCAGCTGGTCTTTCTGAAATGCAGGAAATAAACCAACAACAGAATAGACACATTCAGGATGGAAAAGATTTATTAGTCCAAGCCTGCCAGTGCAGGATTTCCTTTATCATCTGGTTACTGCTTTTTTTAAAAAACAGCTCCTTAAACAAGGCTTCCATTATTTCTCCGAAGAGACTTCTAGATCATTAAAAAACTACAGACTTTTTTTTTCTACCATTTATCCAACATTTTCCCGTTTATTTTGATGTTGTTACCCCACTAATCGACCTTCAGATCGTGAAATCTATTTCCTCTTTCTAGCATTCAAAACAAAACTCAGTCTGCTTCACTCACTGGACAGGTGATGTGAATGCTCCTTTTCTCTTCTTGATCTTTGGGCTGTTCCAAACACTTTGCCATTTCATAATCTCCTGCTGTACTTGCAACTTCAATAGTGCAACCCAAGCCTCATTTCCCTTTTCCTAAGAATCACATTGTTTACTTTGAGTACAGCGGCAGCCAAAAAGGATGAGTTGAGGTATAGAGCAATTTGTCCTTTAAAAAGGAAGGCACCAGTAGAGAGGAAGAGCTGGGAAAAGAGGTATTAGAGATGAGATATTAGACACAAAAGAGACCTTGAAAATTGTAAATATAGAAGCTGGAAAGGCAGCAGTAATTTTCTCACTCTACAAGGGCATAAAAAACCCTATCCCACTGACTCTAAACCAGAAGACTTAAACACAGAAGGAAGTTATGTCTTCCACACAAGACAAGATATGGCATTCATTGCCATAAAAACTTAGAGATTAAAATATAAATGAGCCAAAAACAGGCACATTAATAAGTCACAGGTCGCTAGTTTCTATCATATATAGTCTTTCTTACAACATCTATCTTAAAAGTCAACAGTAGACTGGAAGAAGTTAAAAGGTATGCTCCGTAAAGCAGCATTTTATATAGCTTTATATATATATATATTTTCCTTGGTTTTCCTTAGGAATTTGCCATTAGTGACTGGCAGAGAAAGAATACTAAGGCGGACAAACCTCTGACCTGATCTACTCTGGCTTTGATGGGGAACAAAGAGAAAAGATAAGTTTTCCTTCTTGAGGGAGGAATAGGATGGAGAATATCAGAAATAACAGAAAGCATTTAGTGGGTAGTTCCAGACAGTTGTGATTTTTTTCTCACTAATTAAATCACACTAATCAAAGAGGGAAGATGCTATAAAGATGTAGGCCAACACATCTATTATTTAAGGGGGAAAACAGGTATGAAAGAGTGGGTTTTCCAACTTGCTCCCTGACACATCTTACTGTACTTCAGGCAAAACCAATCCCTCCAAAATACTGAGCAGGTGCAGAAGTCTTTGCTAGAGAAGGTGCTACATCTTAAGCTGTTAAGCTAAAGTATATCACAAATAAGAGAATTCCTCAAAGTCAGGTACACAATTCACTTTTGAGAAATCATTTCTACACACACACGCACACATGCACAGGATGGACACAGTAAAGAGGACAAGGATGGTCACAGTAAAATTCTTTTCCTGACTGACAGGTAGGTATTTTACTGCTTATTAGGATCCTGAACAGGACAATATTCTACCCAACATGAACCAATAAGCTGAGTAAAGCTAGTAGTCCAATCTTGGCTTTTCAGATCTTACATAAAGATGTGTAAAGTTGCATGTTTTTATATCTACACATATACCAATAAGAAGAAATTGTCTGAGCCTTATGTCAGCTTTTCCTGGTTGTGCAGGGAAAAAGCAGTCATGGAAATTGGTACCATTTGTGTTATTTGGGGGCATGACTGTTCCCTAATCATTTTCCAGGTACAAAAAAAAAAAAAAAAAAATCTGTTCTTAATGAAATTTAAATAGGCTGATCTTTTACCATTAAACTCCTTCATTTTAATCATCAGTGATAATCTCCTGCTAAAGCAAAATGACATTGCTTTTGAAAACAGCATTATGGAAACAAACAAAATCAGAAGCAGTCTGGATGTAGAATCAAGTAGTGACAGATGCTGAGCTGTAAAATGTCTTCCCAACTACTGGGAAGACAATAATTTCTGTTACTAATTACTCCTTCAAACTTCAACTGAAACATATTTTTTTTCAGCCCATGCTCGTAACACCATTTTGGATCTTTGTCAAACACTACAATACTGATTCTATTACCCTTTTGTTGACAAAAAAACCCCCAAAACTAAAACCCAAACAAATACAAAAATCCTTAAACCCTAAAAGACAGAGCAAGAGAAAGAGTGATAGAAAAGAAATAAAAAGATGCAGCTTTGAGCCCTAGGTCAAAACTGAACTGTTTTTCCGAGCTTTCCAGCTCCTGCTGAGTTACCAATGCTGACAAATGGGAGGGTTTGAATTACTGACTGCTTATAGAGTGCCCCTTCAATCACACCACACTGGAAATATTTGATAAATATGACTTTCAATAAAAGTTAGTAGGACATAATACGTTAAATCAGAATAAACCAGAAGGACCTGTTGCTGTTGTTAATGGCTTCCTCATATATCACTCCCTTGACCAACAGTGGGTGAGGAAGAAAAAAAAAAAAAGACAAAGAGGTGGGAGAAAGAAAAAAAAGAAAAATAGAAAAAGGTAATTGTCCCACGGTCTGATTTTCTGCCTTCCAAATCATGTATGATATACCAAATTATGTATGATATACTCACATATGCATGTCAACTTACTCCTAATCTCTGCAAAACTCAGTAGGAGCTGCCTTGCCTACACCAAGCATTTGAAAACTTGTTTTTAATAAAAGTTTAGTTTATTTTATTTTGCTTAGCTCAAATTTGGCTCAGTTGTAGTCTGTTGCTTTCTGGAGTGCTTGTCTTTTTCTGCTCATGTGTAACCGAAATTCTAAACCAACAGGTTTCAAACATTTACAAGGCCATGGGCTCTGTAATAAGCAAGACTATAAACACTGGATAAAAGAATATCTGTGATGTTATAGCATTTCTAAGTGTAGCTATAGGAGGCCCTAGATAAAGCGTTTCTGAATAACAAAATATTCTCCCCTGAATTCAGCAACAGAAGAATTTAAATTTTTTTTCTTAATATCAATATTAAGCATACTCAGACTTGGATACCCAATTTATTCATTGATGGCACAAATGATTTAAAATCTACTTAAAAGCAAAATCAAACAAAATACACCCGTAACCCCTTTCCTCCCAGATCTCCCTGGCATTTTCTGAGAAAAGGTCATGTCAGTTAGAGTAACAGTTTTCACAACCACCTGTCTATGGTTTGGTAGCTCCACAGGAATAATTTTTTGATACAAAGTTGCTGTAGGACTCATTAAAAAGGAGTAGGTGCTCTCTCAACCAGGTTCATACTTTAAATTTGTCTTGTAGATACACGGATTTGCACATGTACACATACACACAGCCCCCACTAAACATCTCAGCTACTGCTCCTTCCATCCATGGTATTTCTAGATATTTAACTTTTAGTTATATATTTAATGGAAAACTCTTTGCCACAGCGAGCACCCCTTAAGGCACTCTGTGAAAAGAGGTTTACGGTTCAACTAGCACAAAACTTCAACATGTAATTTTATAAAAAGCATAAAAATGTAAGCCACCATCATTTTGATATCAAAATTAGTAAATGCAACATGCATTTCTCTAACATTTAAAAGACCATTTCTGTAAAAACTCCAGATCACTGGCGTATTCTTGTTCTTGGGAGCATTCACATAACCATAGTTTGCAGAAACAAAAAGTTTGGAGAAAATTATTTTGAGTTAAATACATGAGCATTTATGAAAATGCAATTTTAAAGTTCAACTATTAATTTTCCAAATGTACCTGCATTTAGTTATTATGCTCCCAGAACAATGCTACATGTTTTTTTCTGACCAATCCCAACTAATCAACACAGCTCAATAGCAAAAGTCATACATGGAACCACAAAGTATATAAAAAAAAAATCACATATTTTGACACAAACAAAGCATTTAAGTAAACTATAATATACTGAAAGGAAGTCCAAGAGTGGTAAGAGAGGCTAGATTTGCTACACAGCGTGTTTACTAAAAATCAACTGTGGACTCTCATCAAATACTTTTAGCAAATTACATTATTTACACAGTTTAAATAAATGGCAATTTAAATAAAATGCAATTTTAGGAGCTAACGTATTTCTGTCAGGAATTTGGAGCAAATGAACACACCCCAGTACACAGAGTAGGGGCAGAGGGTGAAGCCCCTGTCAACAGCAGAACTACGAACACGGAAGGCATTGTTACCTTGGCACGCAAAGCCTCTTTCTTCATAGCCAGCATTACACAAGCACTTCCCTATGGGCACTAGCCATTCTCCTTCTGTACTGCAATACATCTTCGGTGGCTCTTCCTCCTTGGAATGGTTGACACAAGATCCCCGTACCTCCACCAGCGACTGGGAGTCCATGGGCACTGTGTCAGGGAACATGGCGAGGTTCTTGACAGTGAAAGGGCACTTTTTGAAGTACACTCGCACCGAGACTAAGGCAACACAAGCACCCACATCTTGGAAAGCCAAGTAAAAGCCTTTCCTGCTGATGGGCCCCACCTCACGGACTTCTGTGTTCAGCTTGAGGATTCTGTCCCCGAGGTCCATCTGGGTGAAGCTCTCATCAGCCGCGATGGTGTCGATCTTTGTAAACTGGTGCTCCTTGAACTTGACCGAGTGGTCATCATCAGATTCCATATAGTACAGATTGAAGGTCTCCTTGCAAGTGCCCAGGACTAGAGGAATGCTATTGCAGTCCCTCAAGGTGAACTTGAGCTCCACATAGATCTTCTGAGCTGAGTTGCGTGGAATCCAGTTTGTTCGCAGCCAATTGTTCTGACTGTGATCCATAACATTGCACACTTGGTAAGTTCTGATCGGGGTATAATGCTCATCAACACCACTAATCTCTTCCCACTGCAGAAAAAAAAAAAGAAAAAAGAAAATATTTTAAAATTAATGATTATACCAATCAAAAATAACACCTAGATGAAAAAGCAAAAATAACTTTGCTTGGATGCTGCTATAAAATAGACAATGAAGTCTGATTGAATTTGCATGCATTTTTTCCTATTAAAACATATAAACATCTTAAATGGACACAGAATTCACCATTAATTAGTCAGTTTTTACTAAGTTATTTCAGGGTGGCATGAAAGAGATGCTATAGCTGTTTGACATTATTAAAAACCTGTGATTTCTTAAACTATACCCATGATTCCAGCATGTCCTTCAACTACACTCACCTGAAATGGAAGAGATTCACAAGGGTACCACCACATTTTAATTGTTAGAATCGATTGTATTTCAAAGATTAAACAAGATTTGAAATCTTACAAACGAGAGCCAATGGCTCCAACTGAAATTCCATACAGTCATTAAAAAGCCTTACAGTTTTCCTTTTATTCAAAGCATGACAATTGATTTTGCCTGGGTTATATGTACTCTGGACAAACAGTCAAGCTCAGCTCAGTTTTCAGAGTTATTAAGAATTACTTCCAACTTACCATTCCTTGGCTAGTTAATTCTTCTGTGGACTATATAGTCTAGGACACTAAAATGTTTTTTGAAGAACACACAGCCATCATTTGTTTTTACAGCAGCCATCAGCTGACAAACTTACTTGACCCACTGAAGGAATAGGTTTTCTATTTTTGAATTACTCACCAGTCCTACCTGATTTCTAAAGTCACACTTACCAGAGGAATATTTAGCAATCACAGGAAAAAAGAAATCCTATGGGGGTACTTACAGTAAATATTTACTGTAAGTCTTTTACCATACACAACTAAGTAACTTTAAGATATATCTTTCTTTGTTTTCTCCTATTCAGGGAGAAAAACTGATAGAGAATATCAGAGCAGATAGAATTAAGGATGTTGTCAGCAGCCATTCTTGCAGGAGGGAGACACTATCACACAAACATCTTCCCTCAAAAATCGTTACCTCAATGTTATATTTAAGATCTCAGTCTAATTACTTGTTTTACATCAACACCTTTTCCTGCAGGACCTTAGTGTACTGCAGAGCAGACAATAGGAGAGGAAAGTATTATTCCCAGTAGGAAAGTAAAGTGCAGAAGTGTTTACAGTTTCTTGGTTTTACAATACAACCATATCTCACACATATACAAAGAAATAAAAAAAAAAAGTGGCCACATCAGAGTAGCATCTGAGAGTTCTCAGTCCCAACCCACTTATTTAAGAAAGTTTTAACATGACTAAGAGCTGGTCTGCACAATGAAATTTTCCACACACCACTGAAGATGTGATTTTAAATCATGTTATTAAACCAGCAGATAAAAGCAGTATAAATACTCTTCCTTTAATTGAAACAAGGTTTATTGTAGTTCACTTTACAGATCGGACTGTACACAAGTTTTATCTCTTCCTGACTAGTTCAACAGAGTTTAAAACACAATCTTGGATGTGTCTACAGCAGCTGAAATGCTGCAGCAAGCCATAACGTGCTACTTTGCCAAAAAAAGCTTGCAGGACAGGGTCTTGCTGAGTCAAAATCACTAGAGCTCATGGCCACTTGAGAGCTTGGCACCATGTGGTAGCTCACCATACAAGCACGAGCTCCCGCCTGCAGCTGGACTCTGGCTCCCAGCCTCTGCAAACTTCCCAAAATTGAGTGAAGAGCTCTCCTCTGACAGATGTCCCTGTAAAAGTTCAGGCCTTGAGCCAACAATCTAACCCTATTGCAAAGAGCCGTTCAGATGCCACAATTGCCTCCAAAGAAGCTGGATGTCCCAATTTATCTGGAGGTCTTAGCTGGACAAATAAAACTCCACTTACAACAACCAGATGAAACTAGACAAGATTATGTAACGAAACCAAATTTTATGAGCATTTTAAGCAACTGATTCCTAAGTTATACAGTGACTACCTTTTCCATACAATTTCTAATCAGTTCATCATATTTTAAATGTCCACTGGGAAATAAAACAAAATCAGGAACCTGTAGAGTTTAAAATATCTCCACAATTCAATAATTATGATCAAAGTAAAAAGCAAGCAGTACATTTGCAATGCTCATACATTGTAGCTTTTCCCAGTAAGCCTTCTTATTGCCATCTCCAGGTGATATTAAAAGATGGTAAGCAGCTTATCAAGAACATTGAGACAATTTTCCTTCTGCAACCCATGAGTTTTTTCTATTAAGTGAGATTTCTCAAACACCTATATTTGTACTCATTTTAATTTTTATTTCTGTACTTGTAACTCATGTATTCAGCTTGCTCCGTAAGGTTACAATAGTTAATAGTCACTTATTCAGTATTACAGTATTCAACGCAGTTTTAATTTGTACACCTATCATTCTAACCTATATTCTCAAACAGTTAGCTGAAAGAAAAGGACAAGAAGGTAGGAGTTAAAAAGTAAAGGAAGAAATATATAAACAGGAATAATTATGGGGAAAAGTTGATTTTCAAATCTTAGAGAAAAGCAGAGTGTAAAAAAATTAAGATATTCCTTATAATAGAAGACATAGATCTTCCTTACAACAAAAGCTACGGAAAAAAATGCCCTTACTGTAGGTAACAAAAGATGCATAGAGATGAGAAAAATAATTAGAAACAAAATGTATCTAAGGTATTTTTAAACACATGAGGAAAATTCTATTCTGCCAGAAGGTGAGGGGTAAATCAGCTAAAAGAAGAGTTCAGAATTACTATGCTGCAATATTTGTATCTTAGGATACAGAAAGAAAAGAACAGCATTCTGAGTATGCAGGAACCTGGGCTTGAACAGGTCAAAATAGAAATGAGACAATGAAACGCAAAGCAAAGGCTTCAATAGAGATGTGGGACGCATTGAAAAAACCTCCAGAAGTAAAACAGATGGGGACATGTTTCTTTTCACCTCATGCATTGAGTACAGTCTGCTGCAGTCTCAGCTTCCTCTTCTCCCACCAGAACTATTCCCATCCCATGAAGTACCAGCATGGGATAGGGGGGTAATTTCTATTAAATCAACTCTCCTAAACAGTATGTCTTGCAACCACTACTGTTTCTGCAGGATCAAGAATGCACTGCAGGGACAAGAAACCATCCAGTAAGAAAGTATGGCCACCCAAATTTAGTCACCACAGAAACCCACCCGGAACTTGAAACAAAACAACAATAAAAAGAGAAGTGTTTCTTATGATACTGCATTTTCCTATGCAAAATTTTAACTTGTTGAGGCTTGGCTAAAAAAATATAAGAACAGTTTGCATTTTTGTTCTTCAGATAGGTGGAAAAAATAAAGCAGAAGGTGCTACCCAAGTAAGGAAGGAGTTGGCACTATGTAATAGTGAGGAGGAAGGGTGTTCGTGGAAGTCAGGCTGAGAATTTAAAGGAAGTCTGTTGAAATGCTGGCAGAACGACTGTATGAAAGATCTGTACTTAAATCATGTAAATAAGACACTGGCAGGACTCAAACCTAATTTTCACCTCAATTATTTGGGTAACTCTAGTCCATGGGGCATTACACTTCAGAGGTGTCCCAACTGGCATTTCTTTCTTCCAATACTGGGCAGCTACAAAACTAATGCATGTTTATCAGTCCTGGCTATGGTTAGACTGGAAATTAATAGCCAAGTCCTAAAGACTGGACTGATGAAATGACAGGACTGTCCTCTGAGCAGTCCAATAGGAACGATAAATTCAAAATATTTTAGGAAGATATTTCTAAAAATGTGTCAGGGATTCTACAACAGCATGATGTGGGACACACCATTTCTGAATTTATATTATTACACAGTACTCATATCATATTGATGCTTTCAGGCATATTCAATGCTTTTGAAACATGTCCAGGAGAAGTGCCATAGCACCACTCCTTTCTCAGCATGTGATTTGGCTTTTGGAAAATGTTCTTTTGTTTGCTTTTCATTTTTAAAATCTTCTTTGGATACTGTTAATGACAGGAAACAAGAGATTGCTTTCAGTGGTATAGAAAAGTCTCAAGATCCCCAGTGAGAGGGTCTAACTCATGTGCCCTTGTCATACTGATTGACAAAGTTGGGCCAAAAAGGATTTTGTTTGCCAGAGCAGATCCAGTAGAGTGTGCTGGACTTATGGCTTTAGTTTATTTCTTCGAATCTCTTTACAAAAGAAAAGTATAGAAGTGAATGTAGGACTTTTCCTAGGATGTCATGAGCAGCCTCAGTAAAAAATTCCCTCTCAATGTGGGAATCTGGGACATGAGTGATCTCCTCAATTCTTTCATCCTGCCTGTGACATCAGTTTTTGTGTCATCTTATCTGTCATATTAAAAAAACCCAAAATCTTCAGTTTACAACAGGAAATTGAAGGACATTTTGGGATTTACAATATAGGTATGCAACTGCATGATCCCCAAAAACCTACACTTCATCTTTCAGCATCACATTGCTATAAAACGCCTAAACTACAAAGCATAAAACTCCAACAAAAATGGAGTTTTGTAATTATTCAAGGAACCTATGGAACCCAGGTAGCTAAATCCCTGACATTCCACTGACAATCTCAGGCAACAGCATAGGAACATTTACTTGCAATTTTATTTTGCTTTAAAAAATTGATATGATGTTTTAATTGGTATGAGCACCATTTAGGTAAAGCCCAACTGTCCTCTAACATAAATATGGCTTTGAAACTTCACAAAAACATCTTCATGTGCTGGGATGTCCCACCCTTGCTAAGTGGAGCACTTAAATCTTTGCTTATTTCTAACCTAATTGTTAAAAACTGGGGGTTTTTTCAGTATAATTGCTTTTCACTATTTATGAGATGTTCACAGAAGTCTCTACAGAACCACCATTCAAATTTTACCTGAAAAAACACATTTTGCTCTAATACTGAACACTAACCCTCTCAACTACTGACTTAATATTCAGCACAGTTTTCAAGCAGGAGAAAAAAAAATCACCTTTATTATGCCTTGCTG